GGGGGGGGGGGGCCTCCTCGCACGCCGGCGCAAAGCCAGCAAATGTGTCTTGGTGGTCGTTGCGCGGAAGCGGGTTGCGCGCCCACATCGACCCCTCGGGCACCGTGCCATTCGACACGTACGTCCCTTCGAACCAGACCCGCGTGCCGCCAGAGGTGCCTGGTGGAGGCCAGGGGCAAGAGCCGAAGACTCTGCGAAAAGCACGATCGCGGTTGACATGGCCCGGCTGCTTTTGGTGCGCACGGAGCGCCCCCCCCGGTGTGCGGAGCGACGCACATACATGGGTAGACTAGAGAGATGGCACTCAATCAATCAATCACCGGGCTTGCGGTCCCAGAGCAGGCTCTGCCGCCCCACAAACCGGAGGGGAAGTCGCTGGAAGCACGCCTCGGTCAGAGGCTCCGACGCCCTGCACAGCCGGTACTGATACCCGCCGCCGTGGTTCGCGAGCACCGTCCAGGCGACCTCCACCGTCTGGCCGGCGGTCCACGTCACGGACCTGCGTCAGGAACGCCGAGGTCGCGGAGGGAAGGAATACCGCACAACGAGGCACGCGGTCACACCGGCCACAAAGAGAAGGACTACTACCGCGGAATACGGTGGAAGACTCAGCCTCTAGGGCCACGGACGGGGCGGCCTTGCGCAGCGTCTTCGAGCCCAGGTCGCCCTGCTTTGCGTGCGCCGTCGCCGAGTAGTGCCCGCCAAACTTGCCCGCCACTGGCGTGCCTCCCGCCATGCCGCACGCGTCAAAGACTGGCGCCGCTCCTGGCGCTCTCCATGGCGAGTAATAGTACCAGTCCTCCTCCGAGCCGCAAGCCGCGCCGGTGTTGACCGTCCGGAGCCTCGGATCGCAGACGGTCGCTCGCGCCGCTGCTCCGCAGAGGTCGAACTTGCGCCTCCAGCGGGGGTCGCCGCTCGACGGGATAGGCCCTCGGCTCTTCCCGTCGCACGAGGCGCAGCCGATGGCGCAGCCGTTCGAGAACCAGAAGCAAGCCTGGCCGAGCACGCCCGTGGTGCGCCCGGGCCCATCCGGAGACGGGCACGCCTGCCCGCGGTACGGGTAGGTCGCGTTCGCCTGCGCCGCAGCGTCCTCGTGGTCGATCGCGTTCCGCGGGCGCGGCCACGAGACGGCGCCGTGCGCCGCGGCTCGCGCGACGAGGGTTGCGAGGAGCGCGACGCCGAGCATATCTGATTGAAGATGTGGCGAGCGTGTGCAGCTCGGCCTGGTGCTGGCGCGAAGCAGGGTGTGGAGCGAGGCGGCCGGCCGCTTGCTTGGTGGACCCGCCTTGGACCCGCTGCCCGGGTACGGATCCCTACGAGTGAGAGTGAGACACTCACTCACTCACCGGATCCCTACGGCCTCGACCTCCAGGGTTCCGCCCCCCCCGGGGGGGGCCAAGCCGGATAGGGGGTCTGTCACCCGTTGGACCCTATGCAATAGGTAGGTAGGTCCGGTTTTGACCGCCCCAAAGGGCCCCGCAATAGGTAGGTAGGTGGTGGTGGTGGGGGTGGGGTGGGGGTGGGGGGTAAAAAACCGCTTCGCTCGCGGCGGGACTGTCGATCGAGGACCCTGAAAAGCTCGCATATCCCTGCGGTGAGCGCTGTGGTCGCCGCAGACTGGCGCCGACTTGACGGCAGCATGGAGACGTGGATTGATGCCTCCATGCTGCCGTCAAGTCGAAATCGACATGCGAGTCGATCTTTGGCCCGCCAGAGGGATATGCGGCGTTTCGGGCGACAAACAGCGCTGCGACCGCGAAGTGGCGGTGGACATGCTCCCACGGTGCCGACGCGGCGCCTTTCTCTCTTTAGTAGGGATCCTAAGCTAAAAGTACGTACAAGTCTATCGCCGACGGACATTGGATTCCAGGGAGGACGTACGTTCGCTGCCGCGAAGCCGAGAGCCCCATCCCTCCCTGCCTGCGGTGCGCCCCGCGTCCGCGTCTGACTGCGGGGGGTGCCCGCGCGCGCGCGGCAGCGCATGGGCCCACACAATCCCTCGCCTGATCCGACCCCAAGCATGCTGCGCATGCCGCCACATACATCTCATGTACCGTTCACCATGCACTCTGACTGGTGACTCGCACAGGTCTGGCGCCGAGGATGATGAACCCCAAGGAAGCCCCGCTCTACAAGGGCTTCTTCAAGATCTTCTTCTTCTTCCTGCTGGCGATGGTCGGCGGATTCCTCGGCGGGGAGCTCCGTGCCCTCAAAGCAGACGCGCTGACCTCGTCGGTGCCTCCCCCCGCTCCGCCGCACAAGGGCCCTGCCTGCTCTGGCGTTCCCCGTTCCCCGAGAGCAGCCTCAGAAGCTGGCCATCCTGCGTGCGCATGATCGGCGTGCGCGAGCCTTGTCGCAAATCAGACACGCCCCCCCCCCCCCTTCCCTCCCTCCAGAGAGTGCGGTGGTGCCCCCCTCTCGCCACTCCCATCTCTCGCACTCGCACACCCCATCGACCAGTGGTGGAGCGAATCCCACTCACTGCTCATTACACACACACCAGCTCATCTCCTTTTTGACTTCATCACTCTAATTGTAGGTCGGGCTTCCGGATGAAAAGCAATACTACACCAAATCCGGGCTCTACGCCGACGCGGAATGCACTGAAGGGCTCTACGCCGACGGTTGCTACAAGGTCCCGGGTTCTAGGTAGGACGCTGTGGGCCCTCTAACGTGGGTCAAGCACAACGGGGTCGCGTGTATCTGCATGGCTATGGGCTGCCAGCCTCGCTCGTTTATGGTCCAAAATAAGAACCTCGTTATCAAAAGACACATCCGATCTTGCGAGCCAACGCGTTCTCGAGACGCATCCGAGCCCTGTCCTGTCCACGGAGCAGGCACACGGCGGCACGGCCCTCCACCAGCTGCAGGAGGTGTGCACCTCCCAGTGGAAGCACCAGATGCTCCCTCACCACCCGCAGCTTTGCGCAGCGCAGCGCACGGGCCACGCCACGCAGAGCCGACCCTCAGTCTGCCCAAGAGGCTGCCTGCGGAAGGCCTGGCAGGTGCCCACTCGCCTCCTCGGCGGCCATGCGCCTCCGCCCGGGCGAGTGAGCAGCGCAAGAGCGGGGAGGCGCATCGCCACTCTGTGCTCCGGTGGCTTGCAGAGCACTTGGAGCACTTGGAGTGCAGTCAGTGCAACCTCACGCCCAGGACCGGGGGGCTGAGAAGCGCACCCAGTTGGCCGGACGCTCGGCATCGGGTTACGGGCAAGAGAGCCCTAGCCCCGGGGGTGCGCGTTCGCAGGGCCATAACACGGGTCTCCGAGGGTATGTTCTGCGCTCCGGGTTTCCCCTAGCTGCGGAACGCCCCCTCTACTCGTTGGCAAGGCGGCAGCCTTGGCCTTGGGCACCAAGTCCCCAAATGCAGCCGATATGCAAAATCCAAAACCGACAAAAAAGAAAAGTAATTTTTTCCTCACACAGTGTGGGGGGGAGAGGAGGAGGGGGGGGGGTACGGGGGGAGCGGCATGGAGGGGGAGAGGAAGAGCAAGGGCGAGAGAGGGCAAGGGACCGGGCGCTGGCATACCAGGGGGGGCAGGGTGGTGGGCGGCGACCGCCGCATACCGTCCTACAGCGGGGACTATCGCTACGCCAGGGAAGACAAGGACGTTGACGTGCAGCTGCTGCTGTTCGAATCGTTCGGCGGGTTCGGGAGGGGGGTCCGTGAGATCCTCCGGAAGGCGGCGAACGTGCTACAGAACAATCTGACGCGGGCCCAATACCTCGATGAGGTGACTTGGACCACTAAGAACTGGCTGGGGCTGCAGAAGCAGCGCATCTCGGTCGTTCTTCACACGGCAATCGCAGAGCAGATTGTGAATGAGCTTGCCTGTGGCGGGGGCGGGCGGGTGCACGGAGCTAAGTGCCTCGCCGCCCTCGCAGGGGTCGCTCAGGCGGCTCCCGTGGTGTACCTGTGTTAGTGCCAGTGCGCGCCAGTCCCGTGCCCAGTGTCGTGTGAGGGAGTTGGGTTGTAAAATTCTCCCGGGACAGGACACGAATCGGAAACGAATCGGGCACCCGCGGAACACATCGAACGGCATATCACCCACGGCTGGATTTATGAATTCTTTTCCTCAAAACGAGGCACTGGCTTCGCACCTGCGAGTGACCTAATGGTGCCAGCATCGAGGCGCGCTAGTGCCTCGAAAAGTCGTTAGCATGGTCTTCTTACTCCCTTCGACGCCCACAACTCGCTTCGCTCCGGTGTCTGCTACGGCGAGCCTCGCGAGCAGCGCCGCCCTCCGCCTGCACCAGCCTCACGTCCATGAGCCTGGCGGCCTGAGCGCCTCGTCGCGGGTTGTCCTCCTCGGAGCCTGTGGGAATGTTGCTCTGGCGGTGCTCAAGACATGTGTGGGGGCGCTATCTGGGAGCGCCGTTCTGCTGGCCGATGGATACCACAGCACGGGCGACCTGGTGCGCAGCCTTGCTCGCCCGCTCACCGCTGCCGCCGCACGCCCAGCACTGAGCCCTCGCTCTGTGTCTGTGTTGAGCAGGTCGTCGACGGCGTCTCTTTTCTTGGCGTCCGAGCGCCCGCCTTCGAGCTCGCCTGCACGCTCGGGATCGCCGCCCTCCTCTCCTCCGCCGGAGCCGCGATGATGCTCTCTGCCTGCCAGCCGCTCCTTCTGGCGCTTCCGTGGGCGGGGCCGTCGGCCGGCGCCACTGTCACCACCACGGTGGCTGCCGCTGCTGCCGCCGCCGCCGCCGCAGCCCAGCCCGCCGCCGCCTCCGCCGAGGTGAGACTGTTCATTGCCGCTGCCTCAATTCTCAGCCAGTCGGGGACCTCTCCCTGAAGAACATTCTCGGAACCTTCCTTAGGCGGCCCTCCTTCCGACGCTCAAGTCGGCGGGAGCCTTCATAGTCTCCGTCGCAGCGGTGCTCGCCAAGGCGCGCCTCTTCTCTCCTCACTCCATCTCTCCATGCCCCTACCCCCCTCCCATCCCGCGCTTGCTCCCTCCCCCCTCCCATCCCGCTGCCCGTCTTCTCACCGCTGCGCGTTGCCGCTGGCCCGCTGCAGGAGTACCTCTTCCGCGTCACGCGCCGCGTCGCCCTCCGCGAGCGCTCCCCCGTCCTCATGGCGTCCGCAAAGCACCACCGCTCCGACGCCATGTCCTCCGTCGCCGCCGCCGTCGGGACGTGTGGTGCGTTTGCCGCGATGCCGCCTCGCCCCGCCCCGCCTCGCCCCGCCCCGCCTCGCCCCCCGCCCCGCCCCGCCTCGCCCCGCCCCGCCTCGCCCCGCCCCGCCCCGCCTCGCCTCGCCTCGCCTGTCCTCACCGTCTCCTCCCTCCGGCCGCCACCGCCCGCCGCCGCCGCCCGCCCGCCCTCGCACACCCCTCTCCCCCTTTCCTGCCAGGCGCCGTCTTTGGGTCTCCCATCGTCGAGAGCATCGCCGCGGCAACGGTGGGCGGAATGATGTTCATGATGGGAGTGGGCGTCGCTCGCGGGGACCACAACCACCCCGCCCCCGTCCCCACCCCCTCCCCCGCCCCCTCCTCCCACTCCCCCTCCTCCGCCGCCGCCGCCGCCGCTTCCTCTGTCTTTGCCACGCGGAGCCGAAGGAAGGCGCCTGGCGGCGCCGCCCTCACCTCGGCCTCAAAGGGGCGCAACGCCGGCCCAAAGGACGCGGGACATCCGCCGGCGGAACGCCCGCCGCCGCCGCAGATGACGGCGCCGGAAGCCGAGGACGTGGTAGAGATCCGCCCCCCGCGCGGCATGGGGCCGGCACTCGGCCTGGTGCGCCGGGACTCCTGGCTCGGGGGCGTGCTCGCGGCGCACCTCCGCGACCAGCGCTCGGTCGCGGAGCAGACCGCGGACTTGTTCCGGCCCTGGCGCTGGGGCGCCGCCGCTCCCGCTGCGGAGGCGGAGGAGCGACACGCAACAGGGTCGAGGCGCCCCCCCATGAAAGGTGTCTCTTCACGGCTCTCTCTGTGAACAGGCGAAGCACGACGAGGGCGACGACCTCTCGGACGACCTCTCTGAGGCCGCCACCGAGGACGCGGGGACGTAGCCCCCGGCGCGACAAGCCTTGAATTGCTGGCTGGGGCGGCACGCCGCAAGCGCCACACCACATGCTCCCTTGTATTTTCGCCTCACCCCTCGGCTCTTGAGTTCCCCCCCACCTCCCCTTCCCCGCGCGCGCCCCGGCGCACCCTTCTCTCACCCCTGTTGGTGCCTATTTCCCTTGGTCTTTCTTTCGAGTCTCTCCCCTCTGGATGGAGTCAAGACGAGTTCTCTCTCTCTCTCTCTCTCTCTCTCTCTCTCTCTCTCTCTCTCTCTCTCTCTCTCTCTCTCTCTCTCTCTCTCTCTCTCTCTCGACTCTGTCAGTCTCTGTCTGGTCTCTGTTGTCGCGTTGTCGCTACCTTGTCTGCAGTCTGGCTAAGGGAAAGGCGGCTGGCTGTCTGGGCTTGCCGCCTTTCGGCTTGCGCGTGGCATGCGGACGGTAAAAACTAAAATACCACTAGACTCGGCGCGCATCGAGCCAGCCAGCCGGCGCCCGATTGATGCGGGCATCCTTCACTCTGTTGGCACGCAGCACGTGGACGTGCACCCTCAAGTGTGAGATGTGAGCGTCGTGAGCGGCCGCGTTGAAGGTGGAGCTGCGGTCGGAGCTGTACGACTCAGCATCTCTGTGCACACTCTGGCCGACGTCGACGCACGCCGACCCCCCCCCCCACCCACCCACCCTCTACACGCGCTGGTCCCGCCGCCCGGACGCTGGCCCCTGCCGCCCTCGTCCTCGCGAAATCTCCAAGTCATCGGGATCGAGCGCCACCTGCTCGTCGTGCCCCTCCGCCGCCCACGCCGCCGCCGCCGTCGCTATCGCCCTCACCGCCCCCAATTCCTCCGCCCTCCACGCCGCCGCCAGCCCCGCCCCCTCCCACGCCGCCGCCTCCGGCACCGCCGCCGCCTGCCCCTCCGCCACCCTCGCCGCCGCCGCCGTCGCTGTCGCCCTCGCCGCTTCCCACGCCGCCGCCTCCGACACCGCCGCCGCCAGCCCCGCCGCCACCCTCGCCGCCGCCGCCGTCGCTGTCGCCCTCACCGCCTCCCACGCCGCCGCCTCTGGCACCGCCGCCGCCGGCCCCTCCGCCGCTCTCGCCGCCGCCGCCGCCGTCGCTGTCGCCCTCACCGCCTCCCACGCCGCCGCCTCCGGCACCGCCGCCGCCTGCCCCTCCGCCGCCCTCGCCGCCGCCGCCGTCGCTGTCGCCCTCACCGCCTCCCACGCTGCCGCCTCCGGTGTGCCGCCGCCGCCGGCCCCTCCGCCCCCCTCGCCGCCGCCGCCGTCGCTGTCGCCCTCGCCGCCCCCCACGCTGCCGCCTCTGGCACCGCCGCCGCCGGCCCCTCCGCCCCCCTCGCCGCCGCCGCCCTCCACCTCGCCCTCGCCGCCGCCCGCGCAACCACCACCGTCGCCACCACCACCCGTGTGCCGCCGCCCCCCAGCCTCCACCTCGCCCTCGCCGCCGCCCGGGCCGCCGCCGACAGATTCCGTTTGCGATCTGTCGCCGAGATATGCGATCAACCATTATTGTTCATCCCAATTGCCACTAGTCCTTAATATTGGGGCTGCCAGCGTTGGGCCAAAGCACGCAATGACGGCAGGTGGTCCCCTTGCGTCGCCGCTGGCGATGGTTCGTTTTGTGGGCTTGTCGCCGGGCGAGCTAGCCCCTCGTCGGCCGCGGACCCGAACAGCGCGTGGGCCAACTGCGCGCCGCTTATCTGGGAGGACCTGCTCGTCGGCACGCTCGATGACGACCACGGTTACTCGATCGTGTTTGACGACGTCAAACACTGTTTGACGTCGTCAAACACAAGTGGAGAATGGCCGTAGCTCCTCTCCACGAGCGATTGAGAGGACGTACCAAGTGTCGATTCTGTATAGAATTGCGAGGCGCACACGCTGGTGCAGGCGGTGAGTCGTCGATCCGACTCGTTCCGCCGTGAAGTCGCCGTGAAGGGTTGGCACTTGGAGCACTTGGAGTGCAGTCATTAACCTCACATCCAGGGCCGGGGAGCTGAGAAGCGCACCCAGCGAGCCGGATGTTGGCAAACGGCCATTTTGCCACATTTTGCCCTCTCGCGCGATCTTCTCGCGTCGGCAAGCGCGCGGGCCAGGATGGGCGAGCCGGTCCCGCCACGCTGGACGGGCCAGCGGCTGGCACGCGCCGGCCACCCCGGCGGCGCGGCGGCCTCATCGCGCTCGTCGTCTGCGAGGCCACCGCTCGGCGTCGCCGCGTCCGACGGCGATGGCGCTTGGCTGTGAGGTGGGACGGCAGCATGGTGCGCGCGGACGTGGGGGTGGTGCGGGATGCGCGTGTCAGCAAGCATAGTTTCACCTCAACCCAATCCGCAGGCGCGCCGACGTGCTGCCCGAGCGCGTTTGGGGGCAGCAGCAGCTCCTCGCTAGGCGCCTTCGGAAGGTGCCACACCCCTTTCCCAGCCGCGCGCGAGTTGAGCTCCGATTTGCGCTCTTTTTTGCACACGCCCGACGCTAGTAGGTGAGGATCGACCATCCTCCGCTAGCAGGGCTTCGTCGGGCGCGTCTTCGTCGAGCGGTGGTGCATCTCCCATGCTCCCACCCGCGCCCTCCTCGCAGCCCGCCCGCGGCCCACACCGACGCCCTCACGTGCTCACCCTAGTCGTAGGTGCGGTTTTTTTGCGTGCCCCCCGTCGATACGGGGCGCTGGGCGATGGCTGGGCTTGTCGCCGGGCGAGCTAGCCCCTCGTCGGCCGCGGAGCGGAGGTGCGAAATCGAGGCGGCGCGGCACCTGCGCGCAGCCTGTCCGGCCGGCGCGCGCATGGTTCCGTAGCCCGTCTAGTGCCTCACTGACCGACTCCAGCGCCACGGTGTACTTTGGATCCAACCACCACACCACACAAACTCGGCCTGGTGCTGGCGCGAAAGCAGGGTGTGGAGCGAGGGGCCCCCCCGGGGGGGGGCAAGCCGGATAGGGGGTCTGTCACCCGTTGGACCCTATGCAATAGGTAGGTAGGTCCGGTTTTGACCGCCCCAAAGGGCCCCGCAATACATGTAGGTAGGTAGGTGGTGGGGGTGGGGGTGGGGTGGGGGTGGGGGGTAAAAAACCGCTTCGCTCGCGGCGGGACTGTCGATCGAGGACCCTGAAAAGCTCGCATATCCCTGCGGTGAGCGCTGTGGTCGCCGCAGACTGGCGCCGACTTGACGGCAGCATGGAGACGTGATTGATGCCTCCATGCTGCCGTCAAGTCGAAATCGACATGCGAGTCGATCTTTGGCCCGCCAGAGGGATATGCGGCGTTTCGGGCGACAAACAGCGCTGCGACCGCGAGGTGGCGGTGGACATGCTCCCACGGTGCCGACGCGGCGCCTTTCTCTCTTTAATATAAAGGAAGACCCATAACACACTTTTTAGCAATATAAGCCACCGCGCGGCGGGCGATATTATCACCTGGCCCACAACGGCAGTGATCCTGGCGCACAGCGCGGGTCGCCACCGAGTGGCTGCCGGTTCGAGATCCTCCCGCGTAACTCAGTTGGTAGAGTGACAGACCCTTAATCTGCTAGTCTTGGGTTCGAGCCCCAACGTGGGAATTCCTCTTTTCCCCCTCTTTTTCCTTTCGTGCATCCATACCGTGCTGGTGTCCCAGTCGTTTCTGCTTGCCTCTCCAGCCGTAGGCGAGCTCTCACGCCCCCCACAGAAAATCGGGTTTTGCCCTTAAATAGTGCTGTTTTCGTTGGGCCGATTTTCGCTTAACTTGGTCGGTTTGAGCACTTTACAGCCAATGCCCACAGCAAATCGGAACTAGTTTTGTGTGGCTTGTTTGGCTTCATCGGTCGTCCCGTGACTGTCGCGCCGCCGCGTTGCACATTGGACACATGCTCTCGCGCGTGGCGGTGACGGTCGGCGCACGTGGCATCCTGAAAGGCCGCGCCTCGGGAGTCGAGCTGCCTCGACACAGCCGCGAGGGCGGACACTGGCCCTGCACGAGCCGGCTGTCGGGCGCTCTGGTGCTCGCAGCGGTGCAGCTGGAGTCGGAGACTCGACCTCCACCTCCGCCCCGCCGCCAGATCCACCGGACTGAGGGCGGCTGGAGCTGCAGCACGATCTGGAACTACGTGCTGAAGGGAGACGATTCGACCTACCTGGCCAACTTCCGCTGCACGCGGCGCCAGTTTGATGATCTCGTTGGACAGCTGGAAGCCGGGGCGCCATACATGGTGAGCAGGCTAGGCGGGCGGGGCAACCCGACACTCTTCCGACCTCGGAGCCACGGTAGGGTGCTCAAGGAAACGGAAGCGGCGAAAGCCGACGGTTGGTAGGAATGGGGCTCTGGCCAGATTTGGGCTTGGAGTTGCCCGCGTCGAGTTTTGGATCTCGACGCGCGTCGAGAATAGTGCGATTTTTTGAACGATTTTTCGCTGGGAAATCGTATTTAAGGGCAAAAACCGATTTGCTGTGGGGGGCGTCGGCTAGCGGCCGGCTAGTTAGTATCGCAAAGCGTGGTCCCATCGCTTGTGCGCATACTGTTGTCCAACAACAGGATACCCATCACTGAGCCGACGATGCTATGGGTAGCCCCAGGGTGGCGCCCACCCCCATACCCTCAGGCACTTGCCTGCGCCCTGGCCGCGCACGCCGCGCACGCGCGCGCACGCCCCGCGCACGCGCCGCACTACGCGGCACTGCCCACCGGTTCCCTCACGCTCAGATTCCCTCACGCTCAGATTCCGTGCAAGGGGGTGCCGAGGTATGCCACAGGCCGGGATGGAGTGAGATCTTGCGGGGCAGGGCGTGGGCTAGCGCGTGAGGGCGCAGGCAAGTGCCCGAGGGTATGGGGGTGGGCGCCACCCTGGGGCTACCCGTGGCATTGTCGGCTCAGTGTACAGTGATGGGTATCCACAGTTATCTCGCAACGTTGCGCAGGTATATTGTTGGCTAGGACACAGAGCTCACAGACCTTGTTATTGACAAGAAAATACGTCCTTGGCGCTTTGCGCTGGTCTATGAGAGGTTGAGGTGCGAGCCCTGGAGGCCCTGGGGATGGGGGGAGACTACCCGCGGGCCTAGAAGGCCCGCGCGCAGAGGGGTGGGACATTGAGATTGAAGGCGGAGGCGGCGGCAGCGCGGCGCACGAACGGAGCTAGGGGACTGGTTTCCCGACGCCGCTGCCACTCTCGGCAACACGAGCACCTGTGAACGGTGTAAAAGGGCTATTCCGAGCGTGAGCGGACGCGGATTTTTTGTCGCGCGCAGGCCATAATCGATGAGGCCCTGTTGCGCGTGCCTCACACAATCTTCTCTGGCCCTCCAGGTTTTGGGCTAAAAATCAAAAGCAGAACAGCATGGTTTGTAGATATGGGGGGGCAACACTGAGGGTCACTGTGGTCATTCGAACGACAAGACGCAACCACCGAGGACACGCGACGCCGCGCGACAAGCTGGAAGGTGGAAGTCTCGTCAAAGGCACTTGTGAGTACTGCGAAGACTGTGCGTCGTCAGGACTCCGCCAGGACTCTGTCAGGACTCTGTCAGGACTCTGTCAGGACTCTGCCAGGACTCTGTCAGGACTCTGTCAGGACTGTCAGGACAGGTGCGGGAGGTCCACAAACCAGGTTCCTTCGGCTCCGCCCGCGCGCCGCGCCTTCGCCTCCGTCAAGGGCGACCTCGCCTCCGTCAAGGGCGACCACGGCCTGCGCCCTCGTGCCCGCGCCGTCTCCGGCCTGCGCCCCAGCGCCCGCGCCTTCTCTCTCTCCGGCCTGCGCCCTCGCGCCCGCGCCGGCTCCGGCCTGCGCCCCTGCGCCCGCGCCTTCTCTCTCTCCGGCTCCGCGCCGCGCCTCGCCTCCGTCAATCGCGACCTCAAGCCGTCCTCTTTCTTCTCGCTGCGCGACTCGATCATGAACATCTCGCACGAGTAGAGCCTCTCGCTTCCCCTCGGGGGAGTCCAGTCTGATCGGGGGGAATTGCCCCACGTCCGCGTACGCGCTTCCCAGGCGCGGCAGACTTTGCATGCTCGTCCCATCTCCACATCTTCTCAGGTCATACCGACCTGGGGGGGGCGTTGGAATGCGGAGATAGTAACTACTCTCTGTGGTGCCCCCTTGGCACTTTACTCTCCTGTCCCGCGTGACTCTCTGTCTCACATGAGTTTCTTCCCTCGATTGTGGCACGCGGGTTCGCTTTCTGGTCGGCGTCTCGATCGTAGCTGCTCGCTATCTGCTCTTGTTTGTACTTGGCCTATACTCTCGGCCTCCTCCGCGCGCCGCCGGGCGCGAGTGGGAGCCCTCGTGCTCCCGCAATCAAACGCTCTACAACAAACTCTACAGCAAAATCGCGCTCTACATCGCTCTACAACGCAGGCGCTTCGTCCCGCGGCGGATGTAGAGCTCTACAGCTCTACATACAGCACTCCAGAGCGCTCTACATCTCTACAACTCTACAGCGCTCTACACTCTACATCCTCTACACCCTCCCTCAGCCTGGTTGCCGCCGCAACGGGTCTACCCCCGGCGAGCCCGTATGCCCCGACTCCACTCACAGAGGCCGAGTCAGCTCGTCTCTCACCTCCCCCGATAGCTGACTCCCTCCCTGGGGTCCTCCGGTCCTCCCGGGACCCGGCCTTCGGCCCTTCCGGTTCGCCGCGGACCCGCTGTCATCTCGCGGCGCCTCCCCTCCCTCGGTCCTCTCTCCCTCGGGTACTCCAGCCTCCGACGGGGCGGCTCTCGGCCAGGAAACGGACCGCGCACGCGATGAGGATGCCGGGAGGTGGACGTGACGAGCGGTCGGACGAACTCGAGCCCGGAGATGGCGCAGCGCTCCGAGCGCATTCTTCGTCTGTCTGCTAGAGCCGCAGCCGCTCCTCGCTGCTCGTTGGCCGCTGTGGAGCCCCGAGACCTCGAGACGTCGAGAGAACTCGCCAAAAATTGGCTTTAAAAAAGAAATACGCGCTTTTCATTGGCGCATTCATTCATTGCGGCCGTCTCGGGCATGTGGGTGCTGCCTGTTCTCGCTTTCCAGCCTGCTCCACGCGCGTCGTGTGCGGCCGTCGCTTCCGTCCCGCTTCCGTTCCGCGGTGGCGTCGTGCTCGCTCGTTCGCTGCCGCTGGAAGTGGAGGAGGTCGTTGCCGCAGCCTTCCGGAAGCAGTATCCGCCAGCCAAGATTGCCGCGCTGTGGACAGAGCTAAAGGCGTGCTTTGGGAGCGAAGAACTGGCACTTCAGGCGGTGCGCGAGAATCCGCAGATCATCAACCCGTCCTATACCGACCCGCCAAAGCTGCTCGCCCGCTCGAAATCATGTCTCGTTGAGATCATGTCAGAGGAGGAGGCGATCGAGGTGATGCTGAAGAACCCAGCGGTGCTGCAGTGTGGGCTCAGCCTCCGCTCGACACAGGCAGACGAGATCAAGAGCTTCGCCAACTTGAGGTATTACGGCGGCCGACTCGTTCCAAATCCAACGGCTGCCCTCGCTGTCGTCGTAGCTGCGCTGTTCTACGTGGTAGCGGGCAGCTATGTCGGGGACGTTGCCGCTCTCGACACGATCAAGCCCGTGCTGGGATTTGTCGGGGCCGGTCTGTTCGGAGCAACCCTGTACGGTGTGGCCAGCTCGAGCCGCAGAAAGTCCTGAGGAAGCGGGACCAGCGGCCGGGCCGGACCGCGGCGCCCTCGGCCGCGCCCCAGGCTCCGGGACGGGGGGGCGAGCGGCGTGGATCGGCTCGCACATGCACATGCGTTTCGACTCTCGGTGGAGAAAGAATAATGGTTGGTAAAAAAGAAGAGTCCACCTTGCTCCTTGAGGCCTGCAGCGCGCGCATGCAGGAGGGAGGAGGGGCCAGCTGCGAGAGGCATGTGTACCATGTTTCGCCCCTCTATCTAAAATTCAAAGCTTCCTTAGAGTGTCAGCAGCTGCATGCAAGAACAACACCGTCGGACAAACTCTCTTCGTACCCGACTTACATTGCAGATTCTTAATTCGAGCTCCCTCTCTCTCCCCTGTCCTTCCTCTCAACCAATCAACCAATGGGGAAGCGCGTCAGGAGGCGTTGCCGATGCTCGTGCCCGCCGAGTTGCCGGCGGCCACCTTTGATCTCTTTGACGCGGATGGCGCTTTCCGCCACCTCTGCGCCTCGGTGGCAAACGCCTGGTCTCCGAGCGCAGTCACCGACGACGGGACAGAGACGCCTGTGAGCAGTGGACACCCCGCGAAGGCACCGTCGCCGATCGCTGTCACGGAGGTCGGGATTGTGACCGACTTGATCGACGTGCAGCGCGAAAAGGCGTAAGATCCGATCACGGTGACGGAATCGGGGATGTCGAAGCTTGTGAGTGAGGAGCACGCCTCAAACGTGCCGTCCCCGATACTCGTCAGCGAGCGCGGGAATATATCGAGACCAGTCCTGCGCACCCCTTGAAGGCGTAGTCTCCCACACTCTGCACAGACGCCGGAATGGAGATGGAGGTGAGCGAGGAGGCGCGAGCGAACGCCCAGCCACCGATGCTGGTGACTGGGGGGGGGAGCTGGCAATACTGACCGACTCGAGGCGTGCAAACAAAGGCGCGGTCGCCAATCTTAACAGAGCTGGGGATGATCGATTTGGTATCCGCACAGCCCTGGAATGCCCAGTCGCCTATGCTTGTCACCGACTCCGGAATCGTCACGTTTTGCAGCGACGTGCATCGTCCACTCACAGAGGCCGAGTCTCGTCTCTCGCTCTCACCTCCCCCGAAAGCTGGGGTCCTCCGGTCCTCCCAGTTCGGAGATTAAAAGAAACACAATTTCGTGGCAATTTTTCGGTGCTCCCCGCACCCCTAACGCGCGCGCGCAGCGCGCGCTAGTGATGCCGCAGGCACCCCGAAGCGGCACGCAGCGCCGGCGCACCCCTAAAACGCGCGCGCAGCGCGCCAGGCGCCGCAGGCGCCCCTACGGCGGCGCGCAGCGCCACTGCACCCCAAAAACGCGCGCGCAGCGCGCGCTAGCGGCGCGCAGCGCCGCCGCAGGCGGCGGACAGCAGGTGCGCGAAATTAAACGCCATTTTCGGTTCCGCGGTTTTGCCACTAACATCGAAATCCGGTACAAATCGACTTAGCCGAAACAGCTGACAGACAGACAGAGAGTACACAAGTTCAAACGAGGGTTGCGCCGGTCGCCGCCGCGCACCCACCCGAGCTAGATGGCCCCATAGGACGCCCTCTCCCTCTGGGCTCGGCTCTGGACGCCTCCAGGGCAGCATGGGTAGGCCGGAACCGCGCCACGGTTCCGCCGAGGCCGCGCAGCAGAACCGACGGCGATCGTGGCGACGGTGTCTCGACGCTGCACCGGCGCGAGAGCGGCCATAAGGGCGCCGGCGATGGCAGCGCCGGCCGTGAGGAAGGCGGCCGCGGCCCTGGCGGCTCAGCGAGCTCGGTGGAGCGAGCAGTAACAGCTGAGAGACTGGAGAGTCCGCGTGTGACCTTGTCGCGATGCAAGTGCCAAAAAGCGTTGTTTGCGGCTATTGCTCAAAACTTCGGGAGAGAAGGCCTACATATTATGAGTGCATGCATCCGTTCGGCGCATGAGAGCTGCGGGACGAGACGTATCACGGTCGATGGCGCCGATGATGACCTCCGGAATGCCCTCGCAATCGCCTCGGATGGGGTCGCCACCGGAGACAATCTGGAGGCCTCTCGGTGGCATCACCAGACAGTGTGAGCTTGCAGACCCGAGATAAGTGCAGTTCGGGACGGCCCAGGCTTGTTACTGATAGGACTGAGCCAGGAGAGCGGCAGGAACGGCGAGGTGGTGAGCTGAGAGCAGGAAATCGCGCTTCGTGGCACGGCATCGCGCGACCGAAGGTCGCACGCCCATCATGATCCCAATCGTTATGTAAGAATGTAACTCACATAACGCCATCATCATATCACATTGCGTCTACACCCGCGCCGCCCGACCCGCGCGGGGCGACGCCCACTGACGCCCGACACTGACTGAGACACACACACAGTTGCTCGGCCTCGCCCGCCCACCCACCCGCATCTCATCCCAGCCTCGCGCTGGCATCCCCACAGTCCGCAAGGCTGCACCGAGGTGCGGCTCTGCCATTCACTCGCCCCCCTCCCGCCAAGCAGCAACCAAGCGCCGACCGGCTCGGGCGGGCTCATGACACCGCCACGCCCCCGCCGCCCCCGCCCGCCCCGCCCGCGCCCGAGCCAGGCCCACCAAAGTGGCGGAAGCGGCGAGCCCAGGACTCCATCTCGCCCTCCTCGCCCTCCTCCTCGTCGTCCTCGTCGCCCTCCTCGCCCGCCTCGTCACCGCCCTCTACAGGGTCGACGGGCGCGGCGGCGTCCGTGGCGGCCACGGTGGTAGAGCGCAACCGGCGATACCACGGGCATGCCGCCAGGCTTGCCTGCCGCCGCTCGAGAAACACTTGCGGCGTGCCTGTGTGGACGATGCGAACACGGAAAGCTCAGTCGAGTCGAACTGGGCCAGTGCAGGCGCGGGAGAGGTGCGTCTGGGGAGGGTGCAGAGCGTGGTGGCTTTGCGCGCGGGTCGTGCGAGCGCGCGCGGCGCCAAGTCTCCCAGACCACCACCGATCACATGTATGCCGCGCGCTGCGATGCCGCCCAGTGCACGAGCGCGCAACCGTGCGCGCGGGGGCTGGGCGCAGGCAGAGGGTGTGCGCGCGGGATGGGAGTCAGAGATGCGGGTGGTCTGGCGCGCACGTGCAATGCGCGTTGTCGAGCGGGGCGTGATGATGCAAGTCGGCAAGCGCTTACACGCCTTCTTGTTCCGCAGGCGCCAGAAGATGTTGGCTCTCTTGTCGTCGCACGCTCGGCATCGACCCGCCCGTCGCCTGGTGTGCTTGCGGAAGGTGAAGCGCCGGCGTCTGGCGCAGTACTTCTCGTGTCGGCTGTGCCGCCTGGCCAGGGCGCGGCGAGCGGTCGGCGCGCGGGCCGTGGCAAGGGCGGGGGCTTGCGGGGCCGCGCGCGGGCACGTCGGGTGCGCCATGGGCGTGCAAACCTCCGCGGGCGCGCACACGGGTGGCTGCGTTAAGTCGCGGCGCCTCCCCGCTGGTCTATCCTTTGGTCGCCTGCCCCTGCTGCCGGCCGGTCTTCGTCACATGCTGCCAACCGCGGCCGAGAGGGGCTTTGCGGCGGCGGACGTGCCGCTCGTCACGGCCCAGTCTGGCGACTCGGCTCCTCCGCGGCGCTTCTCGTTCGCCATCGTCCAGGCCAAGCTCTCGCGCTGCGCTACTCCCTTCGTCGCCGGCGCACAGGCGGCCGGACGCTGCAGCAGCCGCTGCTCGCTCAAGCGGCGAACCGCGTGCTGCCTCGTGCTGACGCCGGTCATTTCCCTCGCGCTCGCGCTGACCCTCGCGCTCGCCGTCCTGCCGCTGTGTGTGCAGATGTTTATGGACGCGGCCACGATCAGCCTGGTCAACTGCTCGCTCGGCCCGGCCGACGCGACGGGGATCGACGTGGCCATCGCCCTCCGGCTCGACAACGGCGGGCCCGTCGCCGCCACCATCCGCGCCTTTGACGCGGTGCTGCACACCCAGGCTCCCAGCCGAGACCGCCCCGCCCCGACCCTCTTTCCTCTCTGACCCTCTTCCCACACCCGCTCTCCTCTCTGCCCCTCATAGGCCGGCCCATGTCTTTCTTTTCACCCCTGTGTTTCCTGTTTGCGTCTCGTAGGCCGACGGCGCCGAGGCTGGCGCCGAGATCGGCAGGCTGAGCTTTCCGACGCTGCCGATGGCGGCGTCGGCGCCAACTCTGCTCTCGACGACGTCGAGGCTGCGCGTCAGCTCGGCCGCCGCCTTCCGCGCCGCCACCGCGCCTCTGCTCCGCGGCGAGGCGAGCGAGTGGGTGGTGCGAGGCGAGGCGACGGTGCAGGTGCTGGGGCGGTCGGTGCGCGTGCGGCTGCGCAAGCGGCTGCGGATGCCCGCCACACGGATGGAGGAGATGCGCGCGACGGATGTGAGCATCGAGCGCGGCGACAACGCCACGGGCGTGCTCACGGTCGCCTCTCGCGTCTCCTTCTTCTCGCGAGCTACCACACCACCCAAGGACCTGAACCCACACTGGATTCGATACTCCGGAGGTATGGGACTAGGCGTTCGTCGCTCGAGCTCGTGCAGATGGGCGCGCTGCGCGTGCACGCCTACTACGACGCGGGCGCAAACGACCCGGCCGTCCCCGCGGCAGAGCGGCGTGCGCGCGCCGGCCGCCTGAGCAGCAGCAGCGTGCGGGTGGGGACGGTGCTGCTGCCAAACTACGAGCTCCGCGCCGGCTACAACGAGCTCGAGGAGCAGATCCACTTTGACCAGTCCCTCGGCGTAGAGGCGCCGAGCCCACCCCCACCGCCTCCCCCTCCTCCGAGCCCACCCCCACCGCCTCCCCCTCCTCCGTACCCAGGCGCCCGAGCCGATCGGCCATACCTCCGGAGTCTCGAATCCAGTGTGGGTTCAGGTCCTTGGGTGGTGTGGTAGGCGCGAGAGGCGATCGGCCACTTCTTTGGCCGGTGGCTCTCGGGGTACGAGCAGACGCTGCTCTGCGTCGGCCCGGTGGGGAACGAAGCTGCCTTTCTAGACAACATCTCCGTCACCACCACCGAGGTGCAAGGGCGCTAGAAGAAGCAGAACCCGTGAGGACTCCGCACAAGACCGCCTTCCCACACCCTGATGTTGGCGTCTTCAGCACGTAGGCGCTAGGCGTGCCATACCTCCAACGTATCGAATCCAGTGTGGGTTCAGGTCCTGGGGTGGTGTGGTGGTGTGGTAGGTGCTCGGCGTGCCGACGCCGCTCTTCACGGGCGGGCTGATGGCGGAGGAGCACACCGTGCGAGGCTGGGACGTGACGACGGGCTGGAGGGCGCGTCCAGGACATGTCCGAGACATGTCCGAGACATGTCCACAGGCTGGGACGTCACGACGGGCGCCAGCTGCGACACCTTCCAGCAGCAGACCGGCAGGTGTGTCAAGGGCGCGGTGGTGTACGGCAAGGCGCCCGGCAGGCGCTCGCTCCTCTTCCGCGATCTGGTCTACGACGCCTTCTTCGACGCGCCGTTTGAGTACTCAGCGACGATGCGCGTGCATGCCGGCCGAGACCACACCGCCCACAGTCGTGAACCCACTCACTGGATTCGAGACTCTGGAGGTATGGTACACGTAGGCCCGCTGCCCATCAAGTTCGCCTCCTTCGCCTGCCGCCCCTCGGACAAGTTCGCGCGGCTCCGCTCGGTCCCCGGAATGTGGGCCTTCGCGCCGGGCCACAACCACTCGTACAGCCCCGACCCGGCGGTCGCGCAGAGGCAGCGGCTAGCCGACTCGACCGTCGTCTTGGAGGGGAGGCCGACCGAGGGCGCCTTCTTCCTCGCCGCCGAGCCGCAACCGGGGCAGGCAAACGAGACGGACCCGTCCGGCAGGACGGGGCCATGCGTGCTCGGCCTCAAGGACGTCGACCCCTTCGATTGCTGCTTCACCACCCGCTTCACCGCCGCGGCGTGCTACTACCAGGCGCGCGGCGAGGACTCCGCCCGCACCTGACAAACACCCAAACCCAACCCTAAACCCCACCCCCACCCCCACCCCCCACCCCCAACCCCCAACCCCCCACCCCCACCCCCCTTTCCCAACCCCCAACCCCCAACCCCCTTTCCCAACCCCCAACCCCCAACCCCCAACCCCCACCCCCAACCCTCACCCCCAGGCCCGCGGCGAGGACTCCATCCCAATCACGGCGAGCGGAAACGCCACGCTGGTGGTTGACGACTGGGAGCTGCCCGCGGCCAACTTTGGTGCGACCATCGCTCGCGTGCCCATCGGCTTCACCTCGGCCCTCACCGACTTCCGCGTCGGCATCAACGGCGGCCCCCTTGGCCGCCAGTTCTTCCTCGAGTTTACGTGCGAGGACATTGCCTTCCCGCCCGCCTGAGGCGGGAGGGGGCCTCCGCCGCCGCCGCGGCGGCGCGCGCAATGTACAACATGTGCATGGCAAGCGGTTGCCTACTTCCTCGGGGGGTCACTACGAGTCTGTGTGTCTGTGGAATAATATCGTGGGGCCTGTGGAATAATAATCGTGCGTGGCCTCTCTCGCGCCGCGTCGCGAGTGGGGTCGTGTGGAGCACGTGGGTGGCTGGGTGCCGCGAAGGCGGGGGCAGCGCTTCTCTCGCGCGGGCCGCGGCGGTGTGCCGGTGTGGCGGCCGCGGTGAGGGGGGCTGCTCCACACTGCTCTGTCGTCTGTGCGCGCCACATCCGCGCACATCTATCTCTCAGTCTCTCGCCTGCAGTCTCTCGCTCTCTCGCTCTCTCTCTATCTCTCGCTCTCGCTCTCGCTCTCTCTCTCTCTCCAGACTCCACTCTCTCCGCTCTGACGGCGCCCTGTGCGTCTCTAGAGCTCTGCGCTTGAGGAGAAGAGGATGAGCTGTGCGATGAGCTGCATGCGCCATGGTTTGCGCGCTCTCTCCTCTCTCGCCCGCGTGCTCGGCCGCGAGGGCTTGAACCATTTAGTCTGGTCCTCTAAATTTGTGGGGACTCGATGTGCGGGGACCCGCCGCCAAACGCATATACACCAGGTCAACATATGTGCGGGCTGCCGGCGACGACACACGCGCACCCCACGCACACAGGCCGCCGCGCGCGCCTCTATCGTCCCATGGGAACCTCCTCGCGGCCGCGCCACAAATACGTTGTGAGAGCACGGCACGATTCACACACTCAGAGGACAGGTAGAGTTGGATGCGGAGGGAAGAAGGCAGTGATTGGCGGCTCGCCCTGGCCCTCGGAGGCTCAGAGCCAGAGGCGCCGGCGGCCCCCGCCCTGACCCTCAGACGCGCATGGTTGGCTCCGTCTGGCGCGGCTCCGTGGTGGGGGGGGCGCCGGGCTGTCACGCCGACGCGCTCGGCGGAGGGGCGAGGAAGGGCGCCGAGCCGAGCGGCCGCGGGCTGAGCCGGTCCTGCGTCGTTCACGCACGCGCGTCAGAGTGCGCGGGCGGGGGAGAGATTGCGTGGCGGGGGATGCAGCTGGGACGTGGCGGTCTCGAGCGCTTTGGAGGCGTGCCAAACGAAGGCGGCACGCAGGGGCGCCGCAGCGTCGGTCCTTGATCAGGGAGGCCATCTCTCGGCGACATCTCGGCGACATCTCGGCGACATCTCGGCGACATCTCGGCGACATCTCGGCGATGTCTAAGCAAAATCTCGGCGATGTCTCGGCGAAGTCTCGGCCATCTCTCTCTCTCTCCTTGATCAGGAAGGCGGCGCCCAGCGCGAGCCAGAGGGCGCCGGCGGCGACGAAGGCAACGCCGAGGACCTGGTTCACACACTGGCGGCGTGAGGAAAGCGAGGGGATCGCGCCACGGTCGCGCCGAAGGCAGGGAGAAGGGGCGGGGCGGGGCGCCGTGTTTTTGCCGCCGAGCCACATGAGCTCCGAGAGCACGACCTACAATTCATTCACTCGCAATGAATACTTGATTGGTTGATGAGCTGCCGCTCCGAGAGCAAAGACCTTCTTGGTGCCTCCAAAGACGCTCGTGTTGTACAGGCCCTCCATCGCCTCCTCGATCACGCAAGGCTCCTCCGGAGCTTGCTCCGCGGGAGCTGTCAGCGAATCGCAAGAGGCCGTCGGCGCCTTGTCATAGGAATACTTTTTGTACCCGCCGCCGGCGTCCACGCCGTTCGACACTCTCACCGTGTAGGTGCCCGGCTCCAGGTCCTCGTCGATCGTGGCGTACAGCTTGCGGAAGTTTGCCTGGCCGGCGGTGCGCATCCACACGATGAAGTGCTCGTCCTCGACGCACATGCCGGAGCCAGGGAAACACCAGCCGATGTTGGCGCCGGCCCCGCCAGGCGCGCGCTCGGCGTCCGCATTCTTCGCCACGCATTCGTCGATCCAGTCCGCGGGGAGCATGCCGTTGTACCTGCCATCGGCATCGAGCTTGACTGGACCAGAAAGCGTGGTCGGGACGCCCTCGCCAAACTCGGCGCAAGGCTGGTTGCGCTCAAACGCAAACTGCGCAAAGTTGGTGCCCGTGGAGCCGTCGGCCGCATTGTGAAATTTGAATTCGACGTCGGTCGCCCATGCGATGCCCTTGCTGGACTGGCTGACTTCAGTCCCGCCTGGCTTGAGCAGCGTCAGCGTGTCGTTGAAGACCGAGGAGGCTACGCGCCCGCACGGAGAGATGACGTTCTGCGAGGCGCATCCGAAAGTGGGGAGGCGGCGGTGCGGGGAGAGCGGGGTGGGGAGGGGGGGAGGGAGAGAAGGAGGGAGGGAGGGAGGGAGAGAGAAGAGGCGTTGCCTCCATCGCGTCGACGCCGGACCAGCCGAACCCGCCCTCACCCGCCGTTTCGCCGTTGACGAGCCTGCGGAACTCGGCCTCCGACCCCTGCGTTGAGGTAGCTGCGGTGCAACCAGGCAACAAGCTCTGGTCGAGCCCGCTCTGCCCAATCAGCTGGGGGTCATCGCGGTCGCGCACCTAGCACACGCCGCCGAGAGCGAGTCATGATGCGGGGCCGGGGCCGGCAGCGGCCCACCCGCCTCCCGCCCCGACCCCGCCGCCTTTGAGAGCCGCAACGCCCCCGTCCTAGCGGCCGTCGGCCAGGGAGGGGCTTTGGCACGAGTGTGGGGGGAGAGGCGCACGTATAGGCGGTGGTTCTGGTAGTAGTTGGTGAGGCGGTAGTACATGTACACGGGCGCCACCAATCTCTCCGTGACCTCCAACTCGAACTCGCACGGGTTGCTGCTGCAGACGGACGAGTCGGCGTAGTCGACGCTCGTCACCTCGACGACGCCAGCCGCGGAGATCAGGACGGGGATACCGATGGCGATGAACGCGACGCCGAAGGCGAGGAAAGTGGCGATCGCCACGCGCGGCGACAGCACCGGCCGCCACGACCAAAGCCGCTGCTGCTTGAGCGCGCTGTCTGCGAGCGGGGCGGCGGGCGAGGGCTCGGCGAGGGTGGGAGCGGAGGGCGGCGAGGAGGCGCGGCGGTCGGCGCGCCCGTCGGTCGTTTGCTTCTCGCATCAGCGCTCCGAGTGCCGACCTTGGAGCCCGCTCTTAGGATGGGCATCGACGGCACCGCGCGCGCAAGCGCGCGCGCAACCCGGACACCGGCGTCCTTGGCGGCCGAAATGGAGAAACAAAACGTCGCGCGGCGGGGGGAACCTGGAGCGCGGACTAACCCTCGGAGACCCGTTTCTACTTTAAGGCCCTTTCCCTGCGAACGCGCACCCCCGGGGCTAGGGCTCTCTAGCCCGTAAAAACCCGATCCCGATCATCCGGCCCGCTGGGTGCGTTTCTTAGCTCCCCGGCCCTGGATGTGAGGTTACTGACCGCACTCCAAGTGCTCCAAGTGCCTCCAGACCCCTCCGTGTCGCGATGCGCTCCCCACTCCCGTTCCCTGTGTCCCTGATCGTCCTTCCAAGATCCTGCTCGTGCAGCTGGGGACTCTTGCCAATCTGGACAGGGAGGGTGGTGGCCCGCCCGACAAGGACCCCAGGAATTGCGACTCGCCGCTTCCTCCCGCTGTGGTTCTGTGTGAGCTCTGTGTCTTGATTTGCCAACAACATACCTAAAAACAGATCCCTGCCGAGTCGCGAGTAGCTCGCTCCTGAGCGGCTGGTGATTCTTCCAACACTACCCGGGTACGGCCTAAATGTTGCCGGCGATCGCCCTCGTCACGGCGTGGAGCAGCCCAGCAGCGTGGAGCAGCGTCGGCGGCGGCATCTCACCGACGGTGACGATTGCTGACGGCGTGCTCATGCCGCGCATCAGTCTCGGGACTTGCTGCGGGTCCGAGGTCACGCACGCCTTCCCGGCTTGGTGGACGTCCGGCGGCCGAGGCGTAGACACTGCCCTTGACTACGGGAAGGAGGTGCCCGGCGGCAAAGAGGCTGAGCTCAGTGCCGCCATCGCCAGCGTGGGTGCGCCTCGGAGCGGCGTCTTCATCACGACCAAGGAAAGCTCGGCAAAGGGCAGAGTGCGTTTCAGCTCGTGGACCTGACCCGGCGCTCTCTGCACACAGATCCGTGCCGGACTCGACCCGCTGCATCTGGGCCCGCTTTGCGTCGGCCTCGACGCAGACTACGCTCTGAGCGCCGTCAAGGCTGACCTCGCCCAGCTCAAGGTCTCGCGCGTCGACCTCGTGCTGGTGCGACCACCGTTTCAGATGCACTGCGGATAGGCGTCCGATCTTGGAGTTTCCTACTGGAGCCACCGCCGTGTCAGATGCACCGCGGATAGGCGTCCGATCTTGGAATTAGAAAGCCGCCTTCTACTATCATGCACTGCGGCTCCCAGCGGCCGTGACCCCCGCCCTCTCCCTCGGCCCTGCAGCTGCACGCGCCGTGCGCCTCCGATGCGACCAACGCGAAGCTCTGGCGGGGCCTGGAGGCGGCGCTCGCACAGAATCTGACGCGAGCCATCGGCGTGTCAAACTTTGACAAGGCGCGGCTGGGCGCGCTGCTCAAGGCGGCAGCGACCAAGCCGGCGGTCAACCAATGCCAGATGTCGATGGCTCATCAGGAGAGTGGGAGAGGGGGAGATGGGCAGGGGCAAGAGAGGGGCAGGGGCACTGCGTGCGGGCTGCAAGGCAGAGGGAGAGGCAGGCCTGGCGAGCTGTTTCAACCACCGGCAGCAGCGTGCCCCCCCTCTCCCCCACCCACCCACCCACCCGCCCCCGCGCAGGAGAGGGAGATGCTCGAGTATTGTGCCGAGAAAGGCATTGTCTTCGAGGCATACGCGGCGATGCGTGGCTGCCCCTTCTCCGACCCGCGCGTGCAGCGCGTCGCGGCGGCGCACGGCGTGGGGGCGTCGCAGGTGTGCTTGCGCTGGGTCCTGCAGACCGGGGCGGCGATGGCGGTCGGGCTCGGCAAGAACGAGAGCAGGATGCGCAGCTACGCGAGGGAGGACTTGGGCATCTTCGGGTTCGAGCTCAGCGCCGACGAGATGGCGACGCTCAGCGCGACCGGCACACAAATCAAGTCTTGCGCGCCGGGTGCCTAGAGCCGTGTAGTCTGTAGAGCGTAGTCCCAACCGGAAGGTGTGCTCGACCAGAACCACAACACGCGAACCACACGGCCAGGTGTGAGGTGACGAGAGTGAGCGAGTGACCAGTGAGCAGTGATCCGTGCGGTGGAGACTGGAGTTGACGGAGTTGTGGAGCGACACACAATCGCCCACGAAAAGCTGCAAAATCAGCACACAAGCATACACAAACTCTCTTAGTCGTTAGTGTAAGCCGTACCGAGCTCGCAGGACGCAGCAGCCAGTGCGCAGTGGCAGTGGCACGCAGCCTATTGCGTGCGCGGCCACCCGATGCGCGGTACGCGATTGGCGTGCAAGGTCCGCTTAAAAGTTCACCGTGTGGCACACAGACACGTGGCCGGCGGGAGCAGATGGCGGGGCGAGAGGGGCAACACACACGGCAAGCGTCCGCATGGACAGCAGAAAAGTCGAGACGCGGGGAGAGGCGACAGGCGCGGCGCTTAAAACGCACCGACTCATGGACGGTAGACATGGAGCATGCGATCATGCGGGTTCGATGGAGCTGCAGTGCGGCACTAGCCAAACGGAGGCAAACCCTTCCGCGGGTCGGTCATGGGTTGCCGGAGCTGCGAGCCGCGAGGACAGCGGGGGCGGCGGTGAAGAAGCTCATGTCGCACCCGGTCGGCGATGGCTTCAGCCGTGATTTCTTCTCCCTGGGCTGCTCGAGAGGTTGGTTCTGCGCCTCTGCTTTGACTTTGAGGAAGCTCGTGCGGGGGCAGAGCAGCCACGCAGAGAACGCCCAGGCGCCCACGCCGGCGGCGAGGCAGACAGCAGGGGAGGACATGACGGCGCGTGGTTCAGCGGAGACTCGGCGGATGACTGGCGCCGGGCGACGATTCGGTTACGTCAACAGAAAAAGAAAAAGTCTCGGCGGAGCTCCGGAAAGACTTTTTTAGTATCGTGAGACTGCTCGCACGCGATTTTTCTCTTTCGCCCTTCGCTATTGCCCGCGCCGCGCTGACGCGGCCTTGCGCGCCGGCTCAGACGCCTGGCGCCTTGCGCGCCCGGCGCTCGCCGTATTGAGCGGTATGCGGCTGCGCCACGACTGGATCGAGCAGCTGCTGCTCGCCCCCTCGGGGCCTCCGATGAGCCGCGCTCTCCAGGCCATCTGCGTGCGGCAGCTCACCTGCTACGGGCTCCTGCTGCTCCAGCTCTACGCGGCGTGGGCGAGAGGCCAGCTCGTCGGCCACCCCTCGGTCGGCGCGAGCCTCGCGGGCCTCTGCGCCGGTTGCGTCGGCGTCGCGTGGCGCTCGCGGCCGGCCTTTGCTCAGCTGATGGCCCCCGTCGCTTTGCTCCACCTCGTGATTGCCGCGCTGCACGCGCTGCCTCTGCTGCGGTGGGCGGCGAGGCAGCGCTTCGGCTTCCTCGGCCTCGCCGTCCCCGCCCTGCTCCACTTCGTCGCCGCCGTCCTCGCCGCCATGGGGCTGCAGGCGGCCGCGAGCGCCGGCGCCGTCGCCGCGCGCCGCGTCGAGCGGAGAGAGCCGCCGGCGCCGTTTTCGCGCTCGCTCACCTCGCCGCGCCGAGCGCCGGCGCTGGTGGGGCGGGGGCAGGCGGCGGCCGTGCACAGGGCGCCGCCGATGCCGCCCCTGCCGCAGGCAGACCCTCGGAAGGCCTCCTGACGCGCCTGACAACGTCTTGTGATCTTGTCTTTGGCGCGTGGTGGCCACCGGCTAGCCATCAGCGGCGACCGACCGACCGGAGGCGAGTGCGTCCGGCGTGCTCTCTGATGAGCTGTGCTGTGAGCGTGAGGGTCCGCCCGCAGGCGCATTTTGGATCCCGAGGCGGTGCCGGGAAAAAACGCCTTTTTTTCCTGAGCCCTGTTACGCACATCCAGGGCCCTATGTGCGCGCGCCGAGCTTTGGTCGTCTCCCTATGCAGTATGGTCGTCTCCCTGCGGCTTAAACGCGCCTTAAAACTCGGGCCCGGGCCCGTTTTAAGGCTGCCTGGGGGCCGCCGATCATTAAACGGTCTTAAACGCTTAAACGGTGCGGGAAGAGCTCCCGAGGTCGATGGTCCGGGAGGCGCCCGGTAGCACGCCGGAGGCCGGGAAGCTGGCTACAGTCAGCTAGCACGCGTCCCCTATGCAGTATGGCTCCTGCCAATGCATCAGACTTACAGATGTGTCTTCAGAGGCGGGTTTGTGCCTAATAACGGCAGTATTGGAGAAAACGGCGCGGAACCCAGCGACGCATGCCGGCGAGGCCGATTTTCTTAAGCGGTCTTAAAAGAGGGACCCCCCGTGCCTGCAATCTCTTAAATGGCAAGTTAAGCCCCCAAACCTCCTCATTTCTTAAAAGCTCTTTAAAAAATCCGGCCCTCAGAACCCTAGGGGTACCCTAAGCGCCAATGTGCGTGAGTGTTGGCCTCGTCACCGCGCCGTGTGTGTTGAATGTACGTCTCGTGTCGTGTGAGTGGTGAGAGACGCGCGGTTTGAGTGGATTGTGCTGACTGCTGTGTAAAGGCAAAAGGGGAAGGACCGTGAGTTGACGGAAATCGAGGGACGCCACAGACGGTCCCGCGCGCCTCGCCGCTAAGTCCTAAGACGGGTACACGACCTGCGTGTACACCCGTCTTTGACTTTGTCCGGAGTGTAACAGCGAGTGAAAAGTCCAACGCGCTCGTCGGTGGCGGCTTCCCTCAACCTGCGCCGCGCTCGGCGAACCTCGACAGCGCCTTCGGTGGCGTGCAGCTCGTTGCGCCTGAAGCCTGGAGAGCAGCTCCTCTGCTGCTCACACGCTCTGCACAGTTGGCACAGCCTACTGTGCGGCTGCCACAGCTGTGACAGCGATGGGCTCGCCCTCACTGGCCCTCAGTCACTTGTGCTGCGGCTTGTGCCGTGAGCGACACTGCTCGGCGATTGCCGGCACACTGTGAGACCATGGCTGTGAGGTAAATAAAACCACGCTACCAGCGCTTGGTCACATCGGCCCCGAGGTCAGATCCTTCTACTCTGTTGATTCATGACAAGACTTGTCTAACTAACTCGCTGAAGGTGAAGCCGAGCTGGAGGGCCTGGCGCACAACCCCTGTGCAATTAACTCAGGGTCCTTCCCCCGTATCTACAGTCTTCGTGGAAAGCGAGCGTGATTTTGCGACTGCACGAAGGCGACAAAAACACATGACGTGTGAGTGTTAGAGTTGTTTGGTATTGCTAAAAATCTCGAAGGCGGGACCACGAGCGATCCGAGAGAGATTTTTAGCAATACCAAACAAATCAACAACAACAACACATATCCCCCCCCCCCCCCCAACAAATCTAACACTCACACGTGTTTGTGTTTGCGATCCGAGGGAGAAAATGTCGTCCGGGTATGTCGGGGTTCGTCAATAAATAACACAAAGATGTCAAGGCCTCGTCGGCGCTGATGCTGCGGGGGGAAGGGGGGGGGGGGGGGGGGGGACTCTGACAGGCTCGAACAGGTGCGAACTGGCGCCTGCTGGCAGGCAAAGGGCAAATGAAAAAAGACGGTCGTCATCGCGTCACGAAAGAGGCTCGGAGCGGCCGACGCCTGACCGCTCGCCATTCTGTTGTCATGTCCTTCATCTTAACGCTCGCGAATCTGCTTTCCATCGCGGCCGCCGCTAGCGGATGGCTCAAGCTCTCCGACGGGCCGTGGAGTGCACGAGAGGGCCTGATGGCGGTCGAGGACGCCAGCGGAATCGTGATGGTCGGTGGTCGGGCAAACCTCGGGCTGGCGGCGCAGCACGATGTGTGGCGCACACCCAACGGCTCCTCTTGGGAGCGGCTTCCCGACGCACCGTTCGCAGGCCGTGCCTACCACGCCATGCTTAGCCACGGCGCATGCATCTTTGTCATGGGTGGCCAGACAGTTGCGCTGCTTGGCGACCCGTTCTTCAATGACGTGTGGCGGTCGTGCGATGGCGGGGAGACGTGGGACTCGCTTGGCCACGCGCCATGGCAGCCGCGGGCCGGCTTGGCCGTTGCCACGCACAACGGGCGAATGGTTGTCGCCGGAGGCTGTTTTGGCTCGTCCATTGGCGCCGGCCGCAAGTTTTTGAACGACGTTTGGGCCACGAGGGATGGAGCATCCTGGGAGCTGCTCACTGCCAATGCCTCCTGGTCCGCTCGTTCGGGCCCACGTCTCGTCGATTTCAACGGGCGGCTGCTGCTCCTCGCTGGAGAGGTGGGGTTCACTGCCGACACACAGCTCGGCGACATCTGGGAGAGTGGTGACGGCGCGACATGGACACTCCTGACTGCCACCCCCGCATTCTCCGCACGGTCCGGCCATGGCGTCGTGAATGCGGGAGGTTCGTTGCTCCTCATCGCAGGGTGGCACGACGCCAAGTGCTTGCACGACCAGTGGCTCTCCGAGGACGGCGTCGTGTGGCGCATGGTGTCCAACGCCACCTGGGCCTGCACTGCCGACGCCTGCGGAAGATTTGACTTTTGGCCGGTGGCGACGAGCAGCGGGCTGCTCCTCACGCTGGGCGGGTCGAACGCCTACTCCACCTTTGGCAAGCTGTGGGCGGAAACGTGGGCTCTCCCGCTCTTGGGAGGGGGGAGGCCGCTGCGGGGCGGCTCCGTCGCTATGCATTGAGGGCGGGACGTCACCGTTCGGACGTCACGCGGCCGTCGCATTGCGCGCGCAGCGAGAGGAGTGTAGTAGCAGCGCGGCAGACGAGCAATGTTGGCCCGGGCGCTCGGTTACCGACGGTGCTTTTGACATAAAGCCGTATGCGTGCCTGTTGGAGAGAGAGCTCGGAGAGACGTGTCTTGGACTCTGGAGGTGTGGCGGGGGGTCTGCTGTGGAGTGTGGTGTGTGTGTGTGCGTGGTAGTGGATCAACATCAAGCTGCACAAGAACGTGCGAGGATATTGCAGTTTGCAGCTACCCCCCGCCCCACCTTGCCCCCACCACTCTTTGCGTGTGTGGAGAAATTTACCTTGCCTCACACACCTTACCTTACATCCGGGTCTCGTCCTGCTCTCCATGTCCAAACAGGTGCGAGAGTCCTGAGGCTGAGCGAGGCGCTAATCCCCCCCTCTAGCGACAAGCGCCGCCACGTCGAGCGCGGCCGCCTGCCGCGAGTCGGCACTCAGCCGCGTCAACTCGGCTAGCAGCCGCGCCTGAGGAAATAGGAGAGCTCTCGGACGAAAAGAAGAACCAAAATACGCGTACGCTCGGCTAGCAGCCGCGCCTGCATTGCAGCCAGCGCCTCCCTGTACCGCGAGCGTGCCGCCTCCGACTCGCCGGCGCACCGCGCCGCGTGCGCCGCCTAGAAAGGAAAGTCTAACTCTCCACATACACGAGGTGGTCCAGATAGACAGGAGCCGCACGGCATTCAAAGTGCAAGGCCCAGTGCGCGTGGGTGAGCGGTGTGTGTGTGTGTGTGTGTGTGTGTGTGTGTGTGTGTGTGTGTGTGTGTGTGTGTGTGTGTGTGTGTGTGTGTGTGTGTGTGTGTGTGTGTGGTGTGTGAGGGGCGTGCGCCGCCTCAATCTCCCTCGCACGCGAGGCGAGCCCGCCGCCGCCGAGCCCGCAGAGAGGACGCGAGATGCACTGCGATGCACCGAAGTGGTCGTCGAGCGCGCAAGAGGCGGCCGCGCCGCCGGCGGGCGCCTCTGCGTCAGCTGCCTCTGCAGCAACCGCGCCGTCCGCGAAGCGCAGGTCGCTGAGGAAGCGGCCGCGCAGCTCGTGCAGCACCGCTGTGCGACCTTGCTGCAGCGCTGCTGCGCGCGCCGGCGTCCGCGGCGGATGGGGCGATCCTGCGTCATCAAAGACAACGGAATCAGGGCGTCGGAGGTGCACCGTCGGAGTCAGGGCCTACGCCCTTCGTTGGAGCGGGCACGGACAGCTAAACACGACCGAGTGCGGCGGAGTGCGGCGGAGTGCGGCGGAGTGCGGCGGAGAGCGCATCCTCTCGAGCACTCGTTGGAGTCCACGGGAGGAATGCCCCACCTCGTGTCGTCTGTGTGTGCCGCTCCCGTGTGGCCGTCTCTCCGCCTCGCTTGCACCCCCACCCGTACCGTGGTCATATCTCCGTCATATCTCCCCACATCTCCCCGCATCTCCCCGCATCTCCCCGCATCTCCCCGCATCTCCCCACATCTCCCCACACCTCCCCACATCTCCCCACATCTCCCCACATCTCCCCACATCTCCCCACATCTCCCCACATCTCCCCACCTCTCCCCACACCTCCCCACATCTCCCCACATCTCCCCACACCTCCCCACACCTCCCCACATCTCCCCACCTCTCCCCACCTCTCCCCACCTCTCCCCACCTCTCCCCACCTCTCCCCACCTCTCCCCACACCTCCCCACATCTCCCCACACCTCCCCACATCTCCCCACATCTCCCCGCACCTCCCCACATCTCCCCACAACTCCCCGCCTGGTGTCCAGTGGTTGGTCAGACTGTTCTCCGCCTCTCTACCTTCCTTCCCACCTACCTGGGGGCAGGGTGGAGGCGGCCCTGCTGGCGGGGCGTCTTGTGAGGTGTGGTCTGTGTGTCGCTCCGGTGGGACCATCATCTCCCCACCCCACACGCGCCGGTGTGTCCCACTCGCTGGTCTGGCTCTGCCTCGCCTCGCAGCCTACCTATCTACGGGATACAGTCTCCCCTCCTCCGGGGGCAAACCTGCACCACCAACGGCGAGCGCCGCCGCCGCCGTCTCAAGGCGAGACGGCGGCGGCGGCGGCGGTGGCGGCGGCGGCGGAAGTGGAGGCGGCAGTGGCGGCGGTGGCGGCGGTGGCGGCGGTGGGGCAAAGATCAGGACCTCAGTCGGTTTGCCGGCGGCGGCGCGCACGAGGGCCTGTTAAGGCGTTCTCCCTCTGGCGTGGCGCCGTCTCTTTTGTCTCGGCGGCGAGCGAGCGAGAGAGCGCCTGTTGTTGGTCGGGGAGAGATGGGGAGAGATGGGGAGAGATGGGGAGAGATGGGGAGAGATGGGGAGAGATGGGGAGAGATGGGGAGAGATGGGGAGAGATGGGGAGGGATGGGGAGAGAGCGCCTGTTGTCGGTCGCGCCGCATCGCCTCCCGCACCTAGCACGAGACATGGGGAGATATGGGGAGATATGGGGAGATTTTCGCACCCAGTGGGATGGCGAGGACGGGGATGGCGGGGAATGGGACGGCGGGGAGTGGGATGGCGGCGTCTCGAAGGAGCTCCCCGGGCCCACTGCAGCAGAACGGCGCCCAGAGTCGCTGCGATTCTGGAGCGCTCGAGACCGCCACATCCGCCCAAAGCGGTGCCGTATGCACGGGCTGTACGTGCGGGTCGCGGTGGCGTCGTCGAGGCGCGGGGTCCGGGAGGGAGAGGCTTCAAAACGCGGTGGCGTCGCGGTGGCATCGCAATGGCGTGGCTAGCACTGCCCTCAGATTGCTGCCCCGAACTCAGCCTCTCTGGCATCTAAGCTGCCGTGCGGCGCCAGAGGCGAGAGGCGTGTTGGCAGGCGCCGCAGCGCTGCCGAGCACCGCGCGCCGCGCCTGCGCGCGCCGCTCCTACGGGCCGCGTCCAGGACACGTCCAGCCTCCCGCAGCGGTGCGTCAGCGGCAGGCGCGCCTCGGCGAATCTCGGCGAGTCTCGGCGAATCTCGGCGAATCTCGGCGAATCTCGGCGGTGCGTCTGCGACGCGGCGTGTCTTGGCGTGCGGGGTGGCCACTTGCACGGCCGCTGCGAGGCGCCGAGGAGAGGGGGCGGGGGGATGCGTCTCCCGCGGGGGGTGCGTCTGCCGTGCGGGGTGCGTCTCCGCGCGGCGGCGGCGGCGGGGGGTGGGGGGGTGCTGCTCTCCTCGGCCGCGGCCACAGCCCAAGGCATCGGCGAGGCGGCTGCGCCGAGCGCCGCCCGGTGCACCTCGACCTACAGCCGAGATTTGAGCCGAGGTTGCGGCGGCATTTCACCGAGAGTGCGCCGAGGTCGGCCGGGAAGCGACGGTGCTGAAGCGCACTGGCTAGCCTCGACCGATGGCCCTCGCACCATGGCGCGACTCGACCCAGAGACAGACGACACAGCGAGGGCGGCGGCGGCGAGGGCGGCGGCGACAGGGGTGGCGGCGACGGGGGCAGTGGCGAGGGCAGCGGGGCGGCTGGAGGCGAGGGCGAGAACGGCGGCAGTCCGGAGGGCG